TACACGACAACTGAACTGTATATGAAAAGCCAGGTGCGTGTGCACCTGTCCATGAGGACTTGGCAGCCACAGGGACACTGGCCAGCTTGTAGCCAAAATGTGCCTTCCTGTTCCTTCCTATCAAGGCCCTGGCCCTTTTGGCCCTCAGCCCACAGCTCAAGAGTGGGAAAAGGCTACATGGTGGAGGAGAAATTGATGGCAGCTCCAGGTTAACCAGGAAAAAAGGACAGAGACCCTGCCCTCAGGAGCCCAGTGCAGCTGGCTGGGCACTAGAACAGACTGGGGCAGGCCAAGACCAGCTGAGTGCCATTGTGGCCCCTCAGTCAGGAGGCAGGAACCACTGCTGCATTTTAGACGAGGCCACTGTGTGTCCATGAGAGGAAGTCTTACAGCTGAGCTGACCCTCTGGCACCAACGCTCAGTTTTAGTACGTGAGACCCTGCCTGAGGCCTGGCTCCTGCCCAGTATCTTCTCAGTCCATCTCATCTCACCCATAGTAGGTTCTCAATCCATCATCATCAGGACATTCTTGTAGGCCTTTCCAAATTCACTTTCTGACCAGGCCACGCTGCTCAAAGGCTCCCCAAGCTGTCCCCTGCTCCTTGGGCCTCTGTCATGCTTCCAGCAGACCTGCTGCAGCCTCTTGTACACATTGACCTTCCCCAGCCTCTCCAGAGTGTTCACACCAAATCCCTGCTCTGTGTCTGCCTCTGGCTGTGCTAGGAGTAGTGCGTTCAGATGGACTCATCCTTAAGTCTGTCATTTTATGATTTGTTTCGTTTCCTCTTTCTCTTTTCTTACCTTTTTTTGCAGGTTATTTGAACATTTTTTTTTTAGGATTCCATCTTGATTTATTTGTAGAGTTTGTGAGCACATTGGATTGCACAGTTTTCTGAGGCCACATGCTCACTGGCAGCACAACAGGGAGTAAAAGAGAGACCCAGGGCAGTGAGTTTCTTAAACTCCATGTTGCCGCAGTGTCCTCCTCAATGACCATGGCGAAGATGGAGCTAATTTGTGCAAAGGGCTTGGAGATGCTCAACAAATGTTAGTGCTTTTCAAGGCTTCTGAGCTGGGTGCAGAGATGTGAGTGTCCCCAAGGTGTTCCTGCCCAAGGGCTGGATCCCACAGGCCGTTCTCGCAGTCATCCTGAGAACTGTTAGCACTTTTCCCATTTGACAGATGAGAACACTTGGCTCAAAGAGATTAAATGACACCCAAGGTCACCTAGATGTCTCATTCTGGACCTACTGTACCCCTGTAGGTTGAAGAACCCCGGCTCCCAACTTCAGACCCCAAAGATCTGCTACTGGGTCCTTTATCTAAGCAAAGGGCCCTCCAGTTACTCTATCCACTAAATCCTGTTGTTTTCACCCTTAGTGTAGTGTGTCTTCATCTGTCCACTTCCTTTGGTTCCCCTGCCACTGCCTTGGCCAGGCTACCAGCGTCTCTCACATGGTAGGCCCCTATTACCATGGTTGCCACCACTGTCTCTACTTCTGTGCTATGTTCCTGCCCAGCCTACCCACTCTCCACATTGCCCATTTTCTCAGGGCCCTCTCTGGCCTGAACCCTCCAACAACTCCCCACTGTCTCAGGAGACAGTCCAGCTCTTTAACACAGTTAGATGGGAACCTCTCAAACTGCAGTAAGCATCAGAGCCACAGAGAGGGCTTGTTAAAACAGAGTACTGGGCTCCGCCCCCAGGTCTGGAATGGGGGCCTAAGAGTTTGCATTTCTAACAAATTCCCAGCAAGTGCTGGTGTTGCTGGACCAGGGAACACACTTTGAGAACCACTAACCTAGATCATGGCCTCTGAGATGAGCTCCTGCCAAGATCTCTTCAGCCTTACCTCTCAGGGCTCCATTCTGCACTGCCTACAGCTCTGCTTTCTCTCTCCAAGGGGCCTATTGTACATCCTCACTGTTCTTGCCCCAGCACTCACTACTCAGCTTCACGGCCTCACTTGTCACTTCCCTGGACAAGTCAGCCCTGAGCCACCTCACCCCCGAGGCTGGATAAGAAGCCCAATGATATAACAGTGTTCTATAGGCCTATGTCCAACACCAGAGCTGCATCAGTCCTTATCACCTGGTACAGAGTAGCTAAAAAACCACTTGCTGAAGGAGTGACTGAAGGTGTCCGGTTACCTATTTGGTCTTTTAGCTGTAGGGACAAGGAATGCCTCAAGAGCTGGGTCTGCATCCAATTCATTCCTGGGGAATGAAGGCCATTCATCAAAATGTCACAGAGAGAGGCCATCACCCAGCTCTTGGTTCTCGCAGGTTGTTTTATAAGCAAGCTGAGGACCATACATCTCTGTCCTCATAGAGGAAATATGCATGGAAGCATCAACCACTCTCTGCTGCGGGTAGAGGAAACCCCAAGCAGTTGGGGTTCTGGGTCATGAGGTTCCTTGCATGTGAGGCCAAAGGTACCAATCAAGTGAAGGGACAGGGACTCAGACCAGGGGACAGAGGAGAGAAGGAGCAGAGTGTGTGTGAGGAGTGAGGATGGGGTGGAAGTCGGTGGCTGCAGGGGG